AATTGATCTAAAAAGCAGTCAAAAGGCTACAGTTTCATTCTTCAAAACATATAATCAGTAAAGGGCAACAAATCTTAACAGTACTGAAAACAGACAAAAATAATAGTTTCATGATCTCCAAATAAAAGCTTTTCCTGTCAGTCATTGGCTAATGCATTTTTCCAGCATGTTCACCGTTTGAGTACCTCAAGCCATGTATCCTATGGTATGATCACCCCCAAGAACATATACTGTATAGACGCTACATGAATGCACACATGATGTAGTATCCAGGGGATTCAGAAGAATTTTAGCTATGTCAGTAAACTTTCACATTGGTAGGCAGAAATTATCCTAGGACATTTGGAAGTTAGAAAACAGGAAGATTTTTCTCAGATTTTTTCCTATAGAAATCTGACTTGTGGTTACATATCAGCACATGTGCATTCAGAAAAATTAACTATCCATTATCTTTGGTTGAAGATCAAATGCAGAAGCTCATGGCCTGACAACATGCGAAAGACAGAAGACTGTCTTTTAAGATAATCTTTAGAAAGAAAGTTATCAGAAAAGAATTTATTTATTTATTTGTTCAATTTATATAGCTGCCCATTTCAGACCAGATTTAGTTTTTTTAATCAATTATGTGCTTTCTGCTGTACAATATGGTGCTATCTAAAATATTGATGTACAGCACTCTGCTGGAAAAGCTGGCTGAAGAAAGAGACATAGTGACCTTGTTAAAGGTATACAAGTCTAGATCCAACCAGTACCTGAATGGGAGGCTACTTCTGAGCTTTATATATTATTATATATAAAAATAATATTAAAAAGTCCTATTAAAAAGGAATGTAACCAATTAATAAAATGATTCCATGACCTGGTCCTGCCAGCTTTTTAAAAATTCAGTACAAGAACACATTTATATTTTTAATCTTCATAGTAGCTGAAATCCAGCAAAAGCAATAGCTAAGCATAAATAAATTGAGACATGCTTTCAGGCTCTGCATGAAAGAAGAGGCAACACAGATCAAAATAAGGATCAGTAGCACAGGACATTATTTATTTTTCTCAGATTTATATTGTTTTTCTCCAGGATCACAAGGTGATTTCATTTTATCTGCACAGGAACAACTGTGTGAGGTAGATTGGGCTGAGGAGGGACTGGCTGAAGTTACCTAGAAAGTTTCCATGGCTGAGCGTCTCTGCAGTCCTAGTCCAACATCTTCACCACTATATCACACTGGTATTAAGTAAGTAGCCCAAAATAGGGAAGGCTGATATGTTTTGAGTATAATAATAATAAACAAAGGATGAGGATAGATTGGATGGGGCTACCAAGAGAGGACAGGTGTAGCTTAATCTCTTTAATTGGACAATATTTTTTTAATCTATGCTTTTTATGCTATTCTCAAACACTTGTGTAG